TGGCTTGGAGTGCAAAGTTCAGGTGAACCTATTTTTTCTTTTGTTATATTAACCTTGACTGTTTTGTGGAGATGGGAGAGTGCAGAAAGCATGAGAAGAATTTGCAGTTGGTTGAACTGGACCGTCATCTCATTTACTATAGGAGGAAAAAAATGACTTGGAACATTAATGTGGATACGAGTGCATTGAAGCAGATCATGGTGCAAGTCAAAGGGAAGGCTCTTTTGGTTTGAGCAGGAGCTGAATCAGGCCCAGTGGAAGCCTCTGAAATCAAATTATTTTGGCTGGCAGCTGCTGCCTTTGATTCTTACAGTACAAGTAGGTTCCTGAAATTCTGCCAGTGTCTGGTATTCTCTTTGCCTCTTCCTGATAGGAGTCAGCTTCTTTACAGCATTTCATCTCTTTTCCTCCTGAATTGTGCGTTGTTCCTGAATGGGAACATACACATCCCAGAAGAGACGTATGCCTGAAATGTGGCACGCTTCCAAAGCACAAAGACTGGTTTTGACAGGCCCTCTGTAAGTGAGTTCCCGGTGGGGTGTTCAAGATAAGTGCCTAGAGTAGATCAGATCGTTGCACAAGCATTGAGTTTTAGCTTTTTCACAAAGAAATTATTCCTGACTTTGCATGCAGAAAATAGGAGAGCTAGGCAGGATGCTGGCACGTGCTGGCACTCTTGTTTTGTATGGGGATGCTCTGGACCCTGTCGCAGTGCACTGATTTGATCTCTTGCTTTTAAACATACACTTGTGAAACCAGGATTGTTATGCCAAAATGCCCAGGATATGTTTTTCCAAGTGCACCTCTGACCATTTGGGATTTGACTGTGGACGTTTGGTGGCTTTGGAGAGCTTCTTTATCACTAAAGCCAGTTCTTGTGCCACCCACTGCAAAGCATAACGCACTGTAGGGCTGCAGCAGGAACTCACTCATTTGCTCTCAGTTTTAGTTACAAACATTACGGAGCTGCTTTAACTGTCAGCTCTGTGGGTGCAGTGTTTGTACTTTGATCTCCCAGCAGGATCATTCCTGATGCTGTAGGAAGGCTTTATGAAGATTGTGCCTAAAGAAAACTCTGAGATTAGACTGAAGATCTGGAACGTGAAGCTGAGGGACCAGTGGCTCTGCAAACACTGCCATCCTTTCCATGTCCCAGGGACTCCTCCTCTGCTACGGAAAGGGACAGCTCGCATGTCTTTCTCCCCCTTGCACAACTGTGGGCCAGACAACACCAGGCAGACTTGCTTCATCCAAGACTGTCAGTCTCCACTGGGCCTTTCAGCTCTGTTCTATTGCATCTTAAACTTTAATGTTAGCTGTGTGCTACGGGCAGAGCGTAGCAGCCCATAGAACCGTGTTTTATGCTTCAAAAGCGCTTTCACACTTCCATGGCATAGGACGTAGACAGACCTGAGTCTTTGGGGCTTATGATTGTCCTAATTTGCTTGGCCAGCAAGTGGAATCTGTTTTTCATGGGGGTACATACGCTGTTATGTAACATGTATTTATTCTCTTTTGTGCGTATTTAAGGTTTAGCTGGAAACATTCTGCACATTTAAATACACTTTTAACTAAAAGTGCATGGTGTATGACTTCAGCACCTGGTCTCCCGAGGTGGTACGTGTGGGGGTTGTTGAGCCTGCACAGAGCCCCGTAGTTGCAAGATGTGGGACTGAGGAGGCCACGAATCGTAATGGTAATGTTATCAAATAGTTCATTATAACCAGTGTCAGTGACCTCTTTCAGAGATCCAGTGGCAAAACTCCCATTGACGTCAGGTACTGACCACAAACATCTGAATAATAACTCATTTATGGCAATTTTGCGTGGTGATGAGAGAAGATGTATCACATACATCACAGATATGTTTTATTCAGCCGTAACAACAGGCAGCAGAAAGCACAGAGAGAGACCAGCCAGCAGGCCACTATGAGCAGTGCTTTGCAAAGTGAGATCGACTCAATTTAGGTCCCATTAAACTCCATGGAAAAACTCCCACAGACCTCAGTGAGGTCTGCTCAGAACCTTAATATTTGTGTAGACACTGTAAGACAGATACTGTTAAAAACAGAAAGCTATTGAGGAAGTAGGAATAATCATATTTTATAAAGACTTTACTTTCTGAGCATATCTGGAAACCTGAATCGAGTATTTGGTCCCATGGTGGGAAACACTGCACAAATATATACAAAGAACTGATCCCTGTCTCGAAGAGTCTACTTTCTAACTAAGAAGCACCCTCTGCTCCCACCAATCCTTAATTACCACTCATTGGCTAATTTCCCATAAATACTGTACCATCAAGCTGGCTCTTGAGGGAGGCAGCGGCTCATGTCCCCATGGTGCCTGTTGTTCAGCAGCTTGCAGACCCTAACCAGGCTGAGGACACTTGCTGCAGATCCAGGATGTTGCAGTATGGTCCCTTCTGTTCCTGGTTCAGTGCACCCAAACTTAGGACTGGGCCTGATGTTCTTGAGATAGTTCAGCATTAGGTTGCACAACATGTTAGCTTGGGAAATGGGGAGAAGCTTGTGCTGTTGCAGCTAGCTAAGGTGGAAAGGATATAATTAACAGACAGGATTGCTGAGAAACCAGTGGTAGCAGTCCTCTGAAGGAGTGCCGCCAGGAGCTTACGAATGATCTCAGCTCGTAGGAGCTCAAAGAGCGCATGAGAAACATACAGTCAGCAGTAACCTTTTTACCCCTGGTTATTGGCAGGTGCTAGTGCAGATCTGGCTTAGAAGAAAGTGCATGATCACCACTGGTTCACCAGTGAGGGCTTACAGGACCTGTGGATGGTTTTTTCACTGGACTCCACCGGCGCGATGTAGGGGACGTTGACCCGTTTGGCTCCGCAGCGCTTTGCTTCTCGCGCTCCCCTTTCACAGACGTGAGGGCATGGACAGGCAGGCCAGGAGATGGAGGCTCTCTGCTATGTCTCTTCACCACGTGAAGGGAGAGTTCCTGCAGCACTTTTTTCTGCAAGAATAAAGTGTTCTTGTAACGTGCAGGTAAAATGATCTGAAAATGTAGAGCTATGGTGAGAGTTGTTGGAATTCTTACTTTAAAAGCTTTCTTACGTCTTATTCTCCAGAAGAATATCCCTGGTGATTCATTTTGTATTGGTGTAATAGTAGCACCTGGAACTACCAGGAAACGTAGGTGAAATTTGGTTAAGAAAGGAAGAAGCCTCTTGAGTTTACCACATCTTTTGTTCCTCAGGAGAAGGCAGGTTTCAGTCCAGTCCTCTGGACGGCCTGACATTGCTTTCCAGGCCCCGGCACAGTGTCTTGCAGAGCTACACTGTCACTACCGGCCTGTGCTGCCCCTCTACAGACAACCAGCGTCTGGGATGCTGCAGCTGGGAACAGCAATTGATACCGTACCTGCACAGACACATCTCTCCAGTCACGTATAGCTTTTGTTGCAGAGGCTGTAATGGAGGGATCTCTGCTCTTTTTGAATTCACCAGGGATTTTGACAGGAAAATCCAGCCCGTGGGGAGTCAGCTCTTGGTGCAGTGTATGCAGAAACTCTCCTCATAGCTTGGGGGTGTACTGGCTCATCCTTGGCTTGGCGCTTCCCACACGAGCTCCCGTTTGACCTTGCTGTTGTGGTGAAGGGGGTTTTCCCCAGGTGCCTGTGAGCTCACCCGCGACTCAAAGAATCACAGAATCACAGAAGGGTTGAGGTTGGCAGGGACCTCTGGAGATCATCTAGTCCAACCCCCCTGCTCCAGCAGGGTCCTCTAGAGCACATCATTGCCCAGGATCGCATCCAGGCGGGTTTTGACTATCTCCAGGGAAGGAGACTCCACCACCTCTCTGGGCAACCTGTTCCAGTGCTCAGTCACCCTCACAGGAAATAAATGTTTTTCATATATTGAGATGGAACTTCCTGTGTTTCAGTTTGTGCCCGTTGCTTCTTGTCCCGTTGCTGGGCACCATGGAGAAGAGACTGGCCTCATCCTCTCGATACCCCCCCTTCAGATATTTGTAGATGTTGATGAGATCGCCTCTCAGTCTTCTCTTCTCCAGGCTGAACAGGCCTAACTCTCCCAGCCTTTCTTCATAGGAGAGATGCTCCAGTGCCCTCATCATCTTTGTAAAGACTCCCTGGCACACGTTTGCCCTGGGAGAAGTGCCACCTCTCACATCAACTGCTCCTTGCGACACAGATGGCTTCTCCACCGCTTACCGCACCAGCCTGTCTTCCCTCCCCGTGCACTGCCGCAGCTTCTCTGCCTGCCCAGAGTGCAGGCAGGTTTCTCCTGTCGCCCCGCGGCCAGCACTGCTCCCTGCTCGGCGGCAGGGTCAGCGGCGCACGGCCACATGCTCTGCTCACTCCACTTTCCAGTTTATTTAATGTTTTGATGTGACTTACTCTGGTTTATTTATATGCTGAGAAAAGTAGGACTGAAATGGAGAAACTAATGGGAAGTCATAAGATTTAAACAATGTACTGTGACCTGCTTTATCTTAGATCTGATTTCTCCCTCAAGTTGCTTTTCCTGCCAACACTCCTGTATTAGGGCTCTGAAAGCCTTGCTAGCTGATAGTTAGGCTGATTTATTTCACTCTTAATTTAGCCTGTGATAATTTCCCCCCTTCCCTGTAATTTGGTCTTCTTCCTCGTTGTATTATATTACAGTGGAAAACTAATGCTGGACTGTAAAAGATGCTGCGTCTTCCTGTGGCATAGCCTGGTGTAACCCTGTTGTGTTTGCATTTGCCCTGTCAGTGGATATGAGGTTCAATATTCTGAGGGGAAAAAGGGTACAAAGAATTGTCTTATAACTGCGCCTGCCCCTTTAGACTTGCAGGACAGGTGTTGGTCTGTGTTTCATCAGCTGGATTGGTCATGAGGAAGAATGTTTTTAACAAGAGAGGAAAGGTAGAGGGAGAGGTTTTGAGCAAGCAGATAAGCTGCTTTTTAGATGTTTTTAACAGTGTGCGTCTTGCAAACTCTATTTTAACAAACACATGGTGATTCTTTTGTAGGTTTGCGGGGAGAAACAACGCTTTGAGAAGCTAATGGAGCACTTCCGAAATGAAGACAACAATATTGACTTTATGGTGAGTGCTATTTTTTAGCAGCAGACTTTGGTTTGAGTGTTTACTGTGTCTGTCCCTGCTGTCCTACGCAGCAGTGAGCTGTATTTACCTCCTGACCCTTAGTCTAAAGTTACCACAATACAATTTTTTATATTCCAAACTACATAATATACCTTCTGTTTTTAGCTTCAGTTCAATTCAGTTATTTCAAGAAATGTCATATACTGTAGTGAAGGTAATTGGAAAGTACCGTTCTGGTACTCTGTGGCAGAATAGCAGTATCTGCAATATCAAGATGTATATTCTGTACATGTGCCAACATCCTCAAAAATCACAGACAAGGAAGTGTGGGGAAGACTCATTGCAGCTGTTGTCTGTTCTTATCTGTAGATAAATATAACAGTAGTTTTCAACACTTTTGGTTCCTCAATGTGCTTATGCATGGTTATTCACCAAATCCACTTCCCCTGGAGCACAAGCGAAAATAGAAACAGAGGAAGAGCCTAACTAGCACCCACAAATGCAAACACCAACTTGCACGTTGGAAACATGTGAAACATGGAGAATCATGACAGTAAGGATGAGCTAACTGGTTACATATTCGGTGTGAGATGTACTTCTGCATCCATTTCTTTAAAGGGTATGGCAAGTGAGTGGTAGGGTCAGTTAGAAGTCTGAAAAATTGAAGTCCTATTTTTACTTGCAAAACAAAGGTGCAGTACAGTCACTGCAGTCTCCCTTGCTCTGCTCATAGCCAGTGCCTCACATATGGCCCAATGCCATTGTGCAATGGAAGAAGAGCAGGTGGGTTCCCTGCCTGGGCACGCTGGCCTTTCTGTTAAGGCCTCTTTGTGTTAAAGACATCTTTTTGCCAGGAACTAAGAGTTAAAGCACCAGAGTGTGGTTTTCCTATTGGCTCTGGATGCTCCAATGCTGGTGACTTCCATCCATTATGGACCAGGGTCAGACTCGCACCCATGAAGCAGAGGCAGAATGAAATTCTGCTTAGGAACCATCCACCTCTCTAGAAATCTGTGCTCTTAAAAACGAATAGAACATGACTGCCAAGGAGGTGTGGTAAACAAGATAGGACGGCCTCTTTCTACTCTTAAAAACTACATATGTTACAATATCCCCTGCAATTTTACTAGAGCTAGCAAGCTGCTCTCAGTAACTCTGCGGCAGGTTGCAGTTGTTATTGTTCCTTGTTACTGCAGGCCCCGTAAGGATCGTTTTGCTAGTCACAGTATAGATTAAATACTCTCAGATGTACATATAGCTTAGACTGCAGCTTAGCAGACAGATTTGTCAGTCCTCGACACCCATCTCTTGGCCATTTTTCCTGTACTCTCAGGGAATGGTAATCGTATTTGGGGGGGGGGGGGGGGGGCAGCCACTTTGCCATAAGCTGCAGCATTTGTCCACCCTTATTAAAGAAAAACATCATCTTTATTTGAGATACTAAATGATCTATTGTAAGGATGGAGTAGGGAATATGTGTGTGCATACATGCCCAGGGAGCTGTGAGACTGACATTCAGCGTCAATGTAGACAGCCTGTTTCATCTCCATGAAAGCTGCCCAGTCTTTTCAAGCCATAGGTTGAAGGCAGCAGTGAAATTGGCTTGAAAATAAACATTTTCAGGACTTGCCCAAACACTAATAAAACCTGCATCTTTGGGTTGCTTCCACCCACTAAGGGCCTGAATATATGACAAGTCTAAAGCTAGGAGAGAGAGTTCATGACAAATGATCTGGCAGATCTGCTCGTTCTATCACCATCTGGTCCTAACTAGATCCACATGCTGTTACAAACAAAATATGACAAATGCGCTGTAGGGGGTGCGGAGGGAAGGCTTGGCTCTGCGAGACGGGAAGCAGCACAAAGAGCTCTTGGCGGTTGGATCTCTGAGGTACCTGCCTGGTGGGAGCAGGTAGGTTTGTACCGTTTGCCAATGGTGCATTAAGGTGGCAGAAATCATTCATTTCTGCAGGATGGGATAAAACAGGTCCCAGAGCCAAAGCCCCGGGATGCAGTGTTAAAGCTTGAGTTATTCAAGTAGCTGTAATGACTGAACATAAACACAGAGACGGTCCTGCAGGACCGAGCTTTCCCTCTGCCCTAAATGGGAGCAGACAAGGATCATCCGTGATGTCCTGGCCGAAAGAGGCTGCCCTTAATTATGTGGGCACTGAGCTAAAGGGAGGAAAGAGCAACAAAAAGACGCAAGTATTTTAGAGAAGATTCCTGTTCCGTTGACTGACTTCATTTTAAAAGCCACTTTCTTACATTAATTTTCTTTGAGTTGTGTATGTAAGGATCTAAGAAAGGAAATGAGAATTTGGCCCTAATGTTGCAAGAACCAAAGCAAGTTTAACAAAGGCACTTTTGAAATCAGGGGATCTGGCTCTGGATTTTTCTCCTGTACAGCAGTGTTCAGCTGCCTGGTGTCATCACTAGGAAAAACTAGGGCTCGTGACAGCAACTGGAAAGGATCTTCTGTGATGTAAAGACTCAAAAACTGAAGTTAGCTTTCTAACTGTGCGAATAGGATTGTTGTAAGAAAGGGATACACCCTGAGAAGTGGGGATGAGACTTCAGTCCTCCTTTGGCCCCTCGATGAATCTTTAGACCTTCTTCCTTGCTCTCTTCCTTTGGGTTCTCCCCGCTTTCAGTCTTGCAACCTGGCATTAGTTAGGGTATAAGTAGTTTTGGAAACAGAACGGTTAAAGCTGTTTTAGAACCTACCCAGGAAGTATGTAGACGTAGATGTAAGTTTTGACCCCAGACCTTTGTTTAGCCACAACATTTGGGCTTGTGTCCATGTGGAATTGGAGGAGGTTGACTCTTGGATTCCTTGGTGCCTGCAAACCAGGCAGGACCTGGTTAGCTGAGGAGGGTTTCTTTGTGGATCAGCAGGCGATAGGAGCATAGAGCTAGAAGGAACAGGCTGGGGCACCCGCTCCAAACCCGTAGTCACAGGCAACCCTGCAACAGCGGCTCACCGCAGGGCCCCATAATGGATCGCAGGGAACCGGCACTTTCCTACAACAAACTGGTAAAGCAGAGAGTGGGTTACAGTTCTCTCTTCCCACAAAATGGCCCAGAGATTTGGAGCCTCCACGGGAGTCTTGTCCTGCCTGTAAAATCAGGTTACTTTGATTTTGTCTTCTCTCTGATTCATTTTAGAAATCTAGAAAGTATGCCAGTAAATACTGAGAGTTTGACATTATTTCTGCTGCAGTGTCTCTAGCAGGGCTTAGTTATGCCATTGAAAACTCTGTAACCGTTGCATTGGCTGGCACAAGGTGTTATAGCTTCAAAAGACTATGCAAAGCCCCCTCTAAAAGCAGCTAAGAGAGTGACAAATGCAGTCACGTGTCGGTCCCTTGAACTAAAGGAGGACTGTGGGACTATCTGTGCGGAGCAGGATTTGGCCCTGTCTTGCACTAAAGAAAAAGCCCCCGGGTGCCTCGGCTGGTCGCTGGCGGCTGCAGCGGCCTCCTCCGCAGCACTGGGCCCCCACCGCGGCCAGGCAGCTCCGCGACTTGCTTTCTGGGGAGCCTTTCTCTTTCCTTCCCTGCATTTGGATTTGGCTGTATGCTCGTTCGTGTGACCTGGTCCCTTGTTCAGTTACCACACCACAGATTTGGAAATACGTTTCCTGCAAATAACAAAGCATCCTTTGTGAAAGTCCTGTTTTCTATGTTGAGGGTTCCAGTTACAAAATTAATCTCACTCTTAAAGGCCATTTCAGAAAATAGCATTGTTTTCTTGAAAGCTTGTACGCTTGCGTGATGACTAGCAGAGCAGACTGGCATGGAAAGCATGTTTTTTTCTGTGAACCAGCATATAATGAAGCAAAGGTGAACTCCGCAGACATTACTAAGCTTTTGGAATCCACGTTCCCCTTTAGCACCACAAACAAGTACCTCGTAAGCCTGAACCCAACACAAAGTTGAAAGAAAAGCTGCAGAAGAGCAAATCACAGTTTCCACTCAGAGTAAACATTATAAAATGTAATCATTAATAACATGTGCTGACATAAGGTCTGACCCAGCGAGGCCTGCTGGAGGGTGCCAGCTCTGGCCCCGGCGTCTCAGGCTGTCCAAAGCGTGCACCCCAGAGCCTTCCTCCACCTTGCTGGTGCGCCGTCAGCCTCGTCTTCTCAGAGCATCTGTTATTAAATGCTCACCCTGCGGTGGTTGTTCCCACAGGTGGCCTGCATGCAGTTCATCAACATCGTTGTCCACTCGGTGGAAGACATGAACTTCAGAGTCCATCTGCAATATGAATTTACAAAATTAGGCTTGGATGAGTATTTGGACGTGAGTATGACCTGCTTTTCTATCCCATAACAGTGTGGATTGTGGTCTCCCAAACGGATTAGCTGATTTGCAGTGTGGAAATCAGTTTGCGTGTGCATATTTGGGGCTCCGCTGTGGAAGCAGTGGGGCAGAGGGCTGCACACGGCACCTCTGCACTGCAAACGGCCACATCTGAGAAGTTTTGCTGTGCCCTGCAGAAACATCATTGTTGAGGGTAACCTTAAACATCAGAGCTCACTGTATTGTCCTTTCCTCCACTGGCCAGTATTACTGCTTTTGTGCTGGCTGCTTGCAGGAAGTCAGTGTAAAAGTCCCGTTCCAGTGTATTCGTCTAGTTAGGAGCTCTGATACCAGGGACTCTGCTGCAGAGAACTAGAAAAAACCCTGACTCATGGTTGTCTTTTTGCTATGCTTTTTAATCCGGATAGTGCAGCTAGTTAGCTGTGGTGTCAAGAGGAACAAAGCCGTTAGTTATTCACACAGTAACCTTGTACTGGCTTGTGCTGCGTGGAGCCTGGCCCCGAACCTCTACGCTCGCTGCGTCTCCGCTGGCAGGACTAGGCGCTGTCGCCAAAGGAAATAACGCTCAGACTCGGGAGAGGGCGGTGTGCTGAGCCCTCTTGCTGACTCTGCTGAGCCTCCTTTCGGGAATTGCTCCCTGTTCCTTTTTAAAAGTCTTTTTTCATCACGGTTTATGGTGTCAGGAATAAAGGCAGCGTGCCTGCCCACCCTCCTGGGCTGCTCAGCCAGCGTAGCCTTCGCCAGGACTCGAGGGCATTCGTGGCTTCAAGGGCTCAGACTTGCTTCCGACCTAGCGAGCAAGAGGCAGGTGCGTGCAGAGGCCCTGCCGAGGGCAGCGGGAGTCAGGCCAGGAGAAACAAGAAACAGCCAGTGAAAGAGTTAGACCAAACCTGTTAATACCTCCAACATCCACTGAAATCCACCAAAAGAGCTTTTGAGAGGGCAGAGCAGGGACATCTCATATTCTGTGCTAAAAACGTAGTGGCCTTGCTCGCTGACTTGGGATCGTGGTTTGGATTCCCCCCTGCAGCAAGGGAAAAAAAAATTAACCTTAACTAACTGGAAGGATGTTCTGGGAGCTAAGCTGGGTCTGGTGACCCAGAGAGTGGACCAATGGAGGCAAAGTCTTCTCCAGAAACAGTGACCTTGCCCGCCGCTGTACAGCCGTCTGTACCGAGAAGCGTGGGCCAGAGGCCTGAGCCGAACCCCGTGCTCTGAGCATCGTGCTGGCTCGGGGCTGGGCTCGGAGAGCGTTCGCGGCGCAGGGGCTGTGCACGTCACTGCTTCTTCAGTAATGAAATGCTGCGGAGCCCTACCAGTCTGCCCCCTGGAAAAAAATTCTTCTTTGAATTTTGCTTAGAGTATTTTCTCCTGACAGCTAGACATTTTCTGGCCTCCTGTGGGAAACACTCTCTTTAAAGAGAAAGCTTTTTTATTTTCCCCCTTTGTGTTTTTCTCTCGCTCCATTTTCTTGCCGTCAGGAGCGTATGCATGAAGACGCTACTTGTGCTGATTAGGGACTGATTTGTCTCTGCTGACTTCTCTGCTCAGTGGTTACCAAGAGAGATGGTTTTTGCTGCCTACAAGAAATACTTGTACGTAGCGGTACGAGCGCTGGCCGCTTGGGCTCGTGGGGTGGTGCAAGCACTGGAGCTCGTCTGAGAAGGCTGAGCTCCCGACCAGTCCAAACTGTGCTCAGAGGTTATCTTTTAAGATCAAGTGAGCTCGTTTTGAACATGGGAGGAATGGAAACTGCAGGAGAGTCTGCACAGGTGCGCGGAGCTGGCCGGGCTTTTGGGGACGGCCACGTGCCGGCTGCGCCCGCGGCCGGCGGGCAGGAAAAGCCAGCAGCTCCTGGCTGTTTCTGCACTTGCAAGTAGAAGTAGTGGCTTGGTAGGTCGAAGCCCTCAAACCTAAAATCTGGTTTGAGGTTTTCCCTGCAAACTAGTTTTGGCCTGGTCTGTGGTCGCAATGTCTCTGCTGTGCACGTGTGCCGGAGCTGCTGCACCGGTCGGCCTCGGCTGGCAGCCTGACCCCCTGGCCCATGCTGCTGCCGGGTTCGGGTTCGGGTTCGGGTTCGGGACCCCTCGCCCACCCTGGGCTCAGACTCGCTCTTGTGTCAGACATTGCCGGTGAACTGCAGGAGTCATATTCAAATAGCAAGCAAAGCCCTGCAGTAATAAAGGATAAGACGCTGCTTAATTGTACTTGAAAGCTCTGCATGTTTGGTCCTCTTTATAAATGAGTGTTTATCATTTATGACCCCTGCTAATGTGAAAACGCTAAACGTTTTTCCGGATGATGGAAGTGGCCTGAGCTCGCACCATTCTCCTACCCGCGTTCGCTGTGCACGATTTTGTTATTGCTGACCGCTGGCTGCGTTGAGTGACACTCTTCTCTTTTTGGATTTGCAGAAACTTAAACACACAGAGAGTGACAAACTGCAGGTGCAAATTCAGGCCTATCTGGACAATGTTTTTGATGTGGGAGCTTTGCTTGAGGATGCTGAAACCAAGAACGCAGCCTTGGAAAGAGTTGAAGAACTGGAAGAAAATATTTCTCATGTTAGTACAAAACCGAAGTCACCTTTGTCTTTGAAGGCGTTCAGAGCCTGCTGTTTCGGCTTGCACATTAATGCTTTGGGATTGCCAGTTTCTTTCGAGATATGAAAGTACAGGCTTAGCCGGGGTAGAGCTTCTGGGGTGAGGAGTATTTGCTTAAAAGAAGCCTTTGGACTACTGTGCAGCAAGTGCCAAGAACTGTGCTTCTTTATGGGGGAATAACCAGGTTCTTGGCATATGAAGAAATTCTGGAAAACTCAGACAGGTAAATTTGCTGGGTGCTTTCTTTTTGGACCCCCATGTGCTGTCTCCTTGGCTGGGAAATTACAGTGCGTATTTTTATTTTTGAAAAATTCCACTTCTGTTTTTTTTTTTTTAATTGCAGACATGCTTTTAAATTATCGGCAGTGGGCCTGGCTAGACGCTTCTCCTTTTTTGAATGTTGAGAGCGGACTAATGCCAAGTATTGATTTCATTGCAGTTCCTTCATTGTGACTGTGTGCTTTTATTAACATAGAGAAACCTCGCAAAGTTACAGTACGAACTATACTTTTGAACTTCATATTTGCATATTTTAGTTAATGGGTGCACCACTTGCTGCAATGTTTTTTTCTTAAGCTGTTTACTGACCAGATGAGAAAATGTCTTATCCTGTCCTTTTATTTACTCCTCTATCTGACACAGCCCCCAGGTTTTCCTGTATCTACTGTGGTAGAGGAAGATACAGGGATAGGATCGCTGGGACTCGATACGCAGTTTCTGTGTATGTCGAGGAACAGTTTGGTCTGTGCTGCCCGCCTAAGTGCTTACATGGCCGTTCGTGTAGCACTCGCGTACCTCGGTAGCTTCAATTTATCCTTGGAAGGCCTTTGCGAGCTGGAAAGGATTATCCCCACCGTTATGCAGGTGGCCAGCGGACGCAAGGACACTTAGGTGATTAGTTACAGCTGGAAGCCAAGGCACGCTCTTCAAGCTTAAGTGTGAGATTAGCTCTCATTCTTAGCAGAAGGGCCCACATCGCTGCTGTTAAAATGTTTGGGAAATGAGACTCACATGTAAAAAAAAGATCATGACATGCACAAGAAAAAAACTAATTAGGAGATGTAACCAGGAAACTACTGAAGAGACAGGCACAGAAATACGGTGACAGCGAAGGACCTGCATAAGAAAGCTACGTTCCCTGCTCTCCCCCGGCCGGGCGGCCTCCCCTCCACGTTCACGTAGTTCTCCTGGCGAGACCTCCACCTCAGGTCGACCGCTACCAGGGCGGTAGCTTTGTACGCTTGGAACTTATTGATTTAAATAGTTTCAGAGTTTTTGGTTTCAGCTGAATTGCGCTTCCAGATGGAATTACTTGGCGCGCTGCACCTCTGTAAAGAGTTATCTTATGAATTGGAAAAACTAATTTACATATAAATTGCAAATTCCTGGGCAATACAGTGCAAATAAATAGAGCAGATAAACATTCCATATCATAAAAGTACAGCTCTGTTCTGTGCTGCTCCCAGCGCTGCACCAAGTACGTGGAAAACAGAAACAGGCCGCTGAGGCATGGCCTGCTGCCTCTGGGAGCGTTTGAAATCCCCAAGCAGCGCGATGTGTCTGATGCCGAAAGAGATAATGCACTTTGCTCTCTTTCTTAAATCACATTACGAGGGTCCCAGAGGTAAGGGCTCAGGACCAAGGCCTGAAAAATCGCACTGTTCAGATAGTCGCGGTTTGCTTGCAGCTTTTCTGTGCCATACGTTCTTGGTGTCAGTTACTTTTGTCCAGAAAATATGACTCAGCTGTTTAAAATGAAAATAGTTTCCATATTTTAAAAAAATCATAAAAGGGTTGTTCTGTTGCCATTTCTATATGGCTTTCACTTAGAATAAGTATATTCTTAAAGGAATTCGCTATACAGTACAGTACAGTATGTGGTCCTTTACTGTGCTCTTCTGCTAAGAAAAAGGATTTAGTAAAAATGGCAGAGTTTGCTTAATAGACCTACACCTTTTAGGTGTTCAGAAACTTAACGGTTTACTTCTGTGGCAAATTTTTAACTACTTACTTGTGATCTCCTGTTACATAGACTAGACTCGTCATTGACAGACTTTTCTGTCGTGTGTTGACAGAAATATTAATAATAGAATTGCAGAAGTTTTATCTCACAAACGTGCAGAAGGCAGCAACCAGGCCCACCTTGCCACCTCTGCAACCTCACCTGAGTCAGAGCGAGAGGTGTTGATGGGAAACGCCGACAAGAACAAAGCGTGGCTTTCAGATCGCACGCTGGTGGGGCTGGCAAAAAATAAAAATTGGAAAAAAAATCACAAGACTGTGGAAAAATAAACAGAAAATAAACTCTTTCCTTTATTCATTACTAGTTAAATGAGCCTCGTTGCGAGAGGTGATATTTATAGGTCTTGCTGCTTCAGCATCTGTTGACCTTGCAACAGTGCCATCATGGTATTCTGTGATTTTGGGGTTTTGAATCAGACTTAGGGTATATGCAAAATAATTGCATTTTAAGTGCTTTATTTTAGAGTGGACTCTTACTGGGACAGGTCCATAGCTGCATTTTGGCTGGGTTGCCCGCGCATCCTAGCTGAAAGATCACATTCACAATGACCAGAGCCTTCAGCAGGGCCACCCACTCCCAGGGACCGTTTGATGGAATATCAATAATTTACCACAATATCACTGTTCCAATAAGTGGTACTGATATTTTGGTTAAGAAAACTGTTATTATTCATTATATGATCTATTCCTCTTTTGAATGATAGTTATCTGAAAAACTCCAAGATACGGAGAACGAAGCTATGGCAAAGATTGTGGAACTGGAAAAACAACTTATGCAGAGAAACAAAGAACTGGATGTGATTCGGGTAAGTGCAATGGTATAATTCTGGCTGGATGTCACGTTTCAGGAGAGAGATCTCCAGTGCATTTTGTGTTTGGTAGAGAGTAAATGTTTTAAGTGAGCTGAGCTGTTTGTGTTAGATTTCAAGTAGAATTATTTGCGTATGCACTCAAAGACCGACGTTTAACTCTTTGAGTGTGCAAGCAAATCAGTGAACTAGATGGCTGCATCCTATCACTGAGGACTGTGATTATTCCTGTTTGGAGATTTGCACATGCAGTTGGCTGTGGAGGAGAGCTGGAGGGGGACTGGAGTCTTTTATAATTTGGCTGCACATAGCAGCAATAAGGAGCAAATGCCTTGTGTGGTACTGTGAAGCTCAGTCTGCTCCCCATACACAGTCCAGACTCCTTCCTTCTTGGTATACTATTTTAGTACAAAAAATTATTAACATAATATTAACTGACTTTAGCCTTGTCCCAAAGTATGGCTGCTTCTAGGGTTCCTTCTTCTGAATGTCTGTCCAGGATACTTGCAGGAACAGTCTCTCCCCCCAATGAGGAGCTCTGATCCTGCTCCTCTTTATGGACTAACATCTGCTCACAGGTAGAGCAGACAGCAAGACATCAGATAACCTGTGTTAAAAGTGAAAATCTAGTAACGTACGTATGTTATATATTAGCATAATGGCAGACATTATAAAGAAGTGATGATAAAAATTCTACATTCCCAGGTGTTCGTGCCCACAGATGAGATTACTCATAGGACTCATTACTGTACCCAGCCTTACTGCTAGCATGGAAAAAATGCAAAATGAATTCTTCCTCACAAATGAAGATAAACGGTTTGCATCAAAACTCATTGTCTGATAATGAGTGGGCACATTGTGCAATCCAGTAGCAAGCTGTTCTTCTGTTTCTAGTATTGGTATTCTGGTTTTTTTGAATGCAAGTAAAAATTACTTGTTTCTGTGGCATTCTTAGGAAATCTACAAAGATGCAAATACCCAGGTTCACACGTTGAGAAAAATGGTCAAAGAAAAAGAGGAAGCCATCCAGCGACAGTCAACGCTGGAGAAAAAGATCCATGAACTGGAGAAGCAGGGGACCATTAAAATCCAGAAGAAAGGTGATGGGGACATCTCCATTCTTCCTGTGGCTCTGGCTTCTGGCATGTTGCCAGCAGGATCAGAAACCATGGCTGGCACATGTGTTGGAGCAGTTGCTGGAGCTGCATCTTCAGTACCGTTGCCACCACCTCCACCGCCATTACCAGCCTTAGCAGCAGCACCCGAGGCAGGTAAGGAGCGGAGCATTCATGTCTCTGTCCTGAGACGTGAGCCGCCTGGGAGCTGATGGCAGTGTTCATTGTGCCTGGGGTCAGTCACACTGGCCTTAAGCTGACAAAAACACCATGGAAGGTCTAAATGAGACCGCAGGTCATGGCAGCCTAGAGCAGCCGAGGATGCTGAGGCTCCCTGGCTTTGTTTGCACTCCCAGTATTTAGGTGGCTCCCAGGATTGTCTGAGACATTTCCTAGTGCTTCGGTTGGCTGAAAAAGTATTGGCTTCTTTCATGAGAGTAGTTTCCTGCTGGATTAGCACACTGAAGTAGTTTGGTGAAGGGTCCAACAAATGCTTGAGCCAGTATCATGGTGGAGAAGAGAAGGCATAGCCAGGAACAAGGAGGATGGTGGGATGGCCATGGCAGCCCGCTTAAGCTGCCATCAGATTGCAGCCGTAGTTATTACACAGCTGTGTGATGAGTCTGGGATGGTTCATGGATCCAGTTTTGCAGCCACGAGTGGGATGTGAACCCAGACGCAGGAAACGGAGCTGTTTCTGTGGATGCCGATGGAGCGTGCTGCACAGGAGGGCAGAGCAGCCGAGTGCCCTGCAGCTGGCTGGCTTAAATCAGTGCAGTTCTCTCAGAGGTGGTGAGCTCACTCCAGCATAAGTCATCTGGGGATCCCTTCACCCTGAGAGCCTGCTGGTCCCCACCATGCGTTGTCTTGTGGCTGCTTGTGATGTTTTCGTTGATGTTCCCTGGTAATACCTCTTCTCTCCTTCGTTTCATAGTACAAAATGGTCCTTTGACGGCGCCGATGCCACCTCCGCCCCCACCTCCACCGCCACCTCCACCGCCACCACCACCGCCTCCTCTCCCAGGTCCAGCTCTGGAGACAGCTCCCGCAGCTCCGCTGCCACCACCGCCCCCACCGTCGGCACCCCCCTTGCCGGGAACCGCCTCTCCCACTGTGGTTTTCAACTCAGGACTTGCAGGTAAAATGGCACGTGCATCGCACCAGCACAGTGCAGATGGGTTGCAAAAGGAAGCAAAGGCAAGGTGAGGACACCTTGTCTGGAGGGGACAGCATACCAAAATGTGACTCTTTTTTACATTTAGTCACCTAAGTAATACCCATTATCTCTTATACATAGAGGAAATTAAAAAACAAAAGAGCATTTATCAAATAAATGATTTTGGTTTGGTCTGCAAGAGGTGGCCTCTTCAGTGAAACTGAAACTTCTTCCAGTAATCTGTTTCTCACATGATCATTTATGGCTTTAAACGAAAGAAAAAGTGGTTTGGAAAACCCCTGAAGTTTCACGGTTTTGATTTCTTTTGAGAACATGATGAAGAAATATCTAGGCGCAAAGAATGGCAAACTTCTTGTTATAATTTTCTGGAGGAAAAAAAATTTCCTTAACAGCCTTAATCATACTTTTAGGCACTCTTTGACACAGACCAAGTACCTCAGGCAGCAAGTGAGTGTTAATTGGTATCACACCCCTTGTCCCTCAGGACATCTCAAGAGCACATCATCATCTCAGAAAGAGAGACTGAGGAGCTCTGATCAACAGCTTTTTTGGGAAAACTGGTTAAGTATTCCAGCCGTCAGAGGTTAAGTTTCCTTTGACCGAGAAAAGCATCATGGAACTAGTGGTGACAGGGTGCATTTAAAAAAAAGGACCAAAAGCCCAGGGAGCTGAGGTTACAGGTTATTCTCTCTCTGACAGGTTCTGAAAAATAGCCGCTGGTCCCGAGGTGCCTGGGGTGTAGTGTTCATTTGGCAGCACGTCTTCTGGGAGAGCAGATCAGAAGGCTCACAAATATACGTTTCCTTTCACCTTTGATTTGCTTCAGCTGGTCCAGTATTCAGCCTTTCTCCTGTGCTGCTGAAGGAGTAGGCTGGCCTGGGAGGGATCCTGTCGCAGGGATGGGATTGCAGTGTTGGCCAGTTTTCCTGGAGGACCTCCGCTCTGCCTCTTTTCTTTTTTAATCTGTAGCCATTGGCTTGATTTTGGCATTAGATGCCTGGAAAGCTAGCGTGCAGCCGGCCTGCTCCATCTCTGTATCAATATACAGAGATGATCCCTGCCAATTGGTATTGTTCCACCAGAGATGGTCTTTCTCCAGTTGGTACTGCTTCCTTTGAGTTCAGTGTGCTTTACAGGAATAGGCATCATGCTACCGAGTGGCCCGGTCAAATCCAGTCTTTCCCCTGAGCCGAGCTCCTTAGTGAAAGGAGGAAGCAATACTGAGGCCCTCTGAAGTTCTCCGGTGTGTGGTGCCACTTCCTGCTGCGTTGTTGGGAGGTTGTCATCACAATGATTTGAAACGTTCTGGTTTCTGCTGCCAGGTTCAAATGCTGCAGGAGATGTTGGAGCTGAACGTGTCACACTGCAGACAGTTAAAAACCCCGCGCAGCGGCTGGAGGGTTCCCAGAGAGTTGTTTAGAGGTGCTTTTCATGGGAAGAAGCAAAGTCAAGGACAGGTGGCATGTTTGGTGTGGCTGTGGTGGTGTCCATAGAGCTGCCCAGGCCACGAACATTTGCCCCTGCTGTGGCAGGGAACATACAATTTCTTTTGGCTGCTTCCCCTGCCATTCCCATGGAAAATCTCTGCAGGGGAGAGTTACCCAAAGTGAATGCTGTTGCCTCCCCTCACATCTTTGTTCATACACGTTTCACTGAATTTGTGATCCCCCTAATGTGTTGATTATCCTGTTGTCTGTCACAGAGCGAGGTAATAGTCTCTGTTCTTTTGAGTACAGTGGCAAGAAATCTCAATTTACCTTGGGGTAAATCACCCAGAGAAGCACGGGGTTCTGCAGCAAGCTACTGGGACACTGTGCTGGCATAACATCCTTGCATTCTGGGGGACGAGGGTAGCGGAGCAAGCTGTCCTGGGCTGGCCCAGTGCAGCCTGCTGGGACGCAGGCACTGGGCTAGGATGGCTGCACAGAGACCGGTGGTCGTTGCTGGTGGCCGAGGCACGGGCTGGGGCTTTTGCGGAGGCCGACTTGGAGATGTCTGCCAAAGGGACCTCTTTGCACCTATGGCAAGGGAGAGCTGAGCTCAGCTGAGGTCCTAGTTTAGATACTTGGGTGAACTCCTGAAGCCGGGAGGGATGGTCCTTTGCTCTTAAATGGGTTAGAAAATGAAGGGAAAGTGGAAGTGCCTTTTCGTGATAAAACGCCTGCGTAGAAGGCACTGGCAGGCATCCTCTGGGATCAGGCTGGAATCAGTGCAGTCATGACTTTTGCTGCTCTAACCATCACTAACATTTTTTTCTTTGTTCTTTCTGCTTCCTGGTAAGACGGGCCGATCAAGCTCTTCTGTAGGTTCCTTCTTGCTAAGTATTTAATTCCTTGCCCACATTTCCTGCTCTGTCCTTGTGTGCTGTGACCTTCTGTGTTTGCGCGGGGACTGCTGTTAATTTGCCAAGAGCGTTGGTGGGCGGCCA